ACGACCGATTAAATAGAAATCGTTGCCTTGAAAAGTACGAATATCAGTGATGAAACAAACCTTATAAATCGACCAACGTATTCGACCAGCTTGATTATTCGACCATAAATTGGAAATCGTTGCCTTCACAACCCAATCATTCCAAACCGTAATCGTGTCGCGCGTAGTAATCAATTTTGGATTTCTTCGTGTTATTCCATATTGTGTTTTGGGTAGTTCTTGTATACTAAGAATGACAACCCAAGATACGAGATTGCAATGACCATCGTATTCTGCATTCTTTCTCAGTTTAACTCTCGCCAAAAACTGGTGCGCAGTTTCCATAGCAACAACATAGGGTTTCGTTTCCCAGTCGACCGACATCAATCAAAGTGCTTGACGGAAAACAAAAGAGTTTTCAATAGCACGTGCCTATGGAATGTCATGGAAACGCCTTGATTGACGTGCACTAAAATTTCTCAGTCTCTTTCTCGAGCTACTCAGCTCGTCTTGGCCGCGCACGCATCGATAAAAGTGGGTCCAACTCTAGCTACGAAGAAGTTGATACTCCCTGCTAGCAGAGTTTCCATCGTTGGCGATTCTTGCCAAAAAAAAGAAAAAAAAAGAAAAAAAAAGAGGGAGCTGAGACTGCTAGAAGGGAAAGTTGAATGTCATTTCGTGCACAGATGTTTACTGGCTGTTGATCAAGACTTTTGGCGGAACTCCTTTTCCCACGATCAAGAGATAACCCTAATGAAACGAAAACAAACATACTTGAGCATTAATTACTCTGATTCCATCAATACCACGCGAACCGTCCTCATGCCTTTCGTATGATATCAGGTATATGATGAGCATTTATGAGTAATGAGTCTTGTGTCAAAATTTGTCGGCTCCTAGTGGTTTGTTGGGATTAAACAATCGATAGTGTTACTCTTAATCGTGCAATTACTTGGCATTTTCTTCGTGATTTTACTAATACTATGTCTAGTTCGGAGAGTCGGTCAGTCGCGAGTCACTTGTAGTAGAAAGAGATTAACGAAGGGTTATGATTCAATATGTTAATAAAAATACGGTTTAAAAGAATCAATAATCTTATTCCTAATTGTGCAATAAGTTGATTTTTACCTCGCAATCATACTGATAGTGTATCCACTTCGGAGAGTCGGTCGGTAGAATGGTATTAAAAAAACTAATAATCTTATTCCTAATTGTGCAATAACTTGATATTCACTTTTGCAATCATACTGATATTGTATCCACTTCGGAGAGTCGGTCAGTAGAATGGGATTAAAAAAATCAATAATCTTATTCCTAATTGTGGATAACTTGATATTCACTTCGCAATCAGGAGAGTCGGTTAGTAGAATCGGATTTAAAAAAATCAGTAATCTTACTAACTGGATCATGCAATAACTTGATGATCACCCGGTTTTTGCATAGTAAATACTATGTCGGCCTAAAGTAAAGCCGGACCGATGCCTATCATTATTATTTCTACGCGTAAACTACGTTAGAATGTCATGTCTTCGGCAAGCAAACTCAAAGCCTCAATATTTCACTCATGGAGCGGCAGGCTTCAAAGAAATGGAAAGTTTTGAGAGAGAGAAGTGCGCATGTTGCTTTTAAGATGCTGTGTTTTGGAAGCTATTTATTTTCAACGTGTCCGCTATATATTTTGTTATCACAGTTTTCAATTTTCTTTAAGTTTCTGTTAGGCCTAGTGTAAAGTTTTTTTATAATGCTTATTTAGTTTTCGATATGTTGTTGCCTTGAGCGACAATGAACGCTAAAATACCGAGAACTAGAGTTCTTGTAAACTTCACTCAGAGAATAAGAAATAATATGTAGCGACCATAAATAAACAGTTATTACTTCTTGTCTTTTCACAGCACTTTACTTGCAATATAATAATGATAATAATAATAATAATGATAATAATGATAATGATAATGGTCATTCTTATATAGCGCATTTCATAATCTCGATGCGCTTTACAATAATTATTTTCGGGGGACTTGACGTACTGCTGTTACGGCGCAAATTGCAGCCATGCAGCTCACAATCATGAGTGCTTGTTAGTAACTGATGCCCCCAAGGCCAGGCTGTTGTACCGCCCTACTCTTTCACGAAGAATACAACAGGGGTTATAGAGTGTAAGCTGGCAGACGGAACCTCCGGTTTTGCGTCCTTATCCGAGCGGAAGACGCGAAGTTCTAACCATTTGTAGATAGAGAAACAAAGGCAGCAACTTCTTCTCAGTCATTTAATGTCACTGAATGTTGGTCCGTCCAATATGCAACAGCTAGTTTATTGATATTTTCTTCCATTAAATGAATACCAAAGAACGTGTTTCGAAATTTAAGAAACAACCTCCTGAATATTTACATGCTATCGCTCTAGGGGACGTCACTTCCGCCCTAGTGCTTCAAAAGCTCAGTTCCGGTCCTCCTTACTTCCGTCAACCCAACTTCCGGTGACTTTGCTTTAGCGTGACTTTTTCTGAGGAAATTGTTTATTTTTATTCTTGAATGTGATAAAAGATCCTGTCATATGTTACGATATTCTTATTGAAAACTTTAATATCCCTCTTGGTTTCCTGTTGAAGGAATTTCGGTGGCTCTGAGGTTTCCGTTTGAATATCCTTGAATACAACAATTGGAAGGGTAGCCGTTGTCTGGTCGATTGTTGGTTTATTCACTTTTCATTGGGGGATATCAGATATATTCAAAAAGAATTGTAAATTGGGGTCACAGATCAGAGCAAGTTGTGTAGTAATGTAGATTTTTTTAGCGGTTCTCCTTTCTCATTGTGTAAGGGGCGCAATTGGCGCAACTCGCTTGATCCGAGGCCTGACTCCACTCTGCGCGCTTAATTCCATCGCGTATGCGGACTTAGTGCGGCAACCTATCTTTGAAAGGGTATTGGGACGTGCGCAGCTTCCTTATCCAGGGCAAATCTAGTGCCCTACCACGCCCTTTGTTTGACCTTAGGGAGTGCTACGATATGATCTGCATATATGTCATGATTCACAACTTAGAGGAGGTCATAAATGAGATCGTGTTTTTCACCCGTCACTTCAAGCCTCAGTTACAATGATGGGGGTTGCGGAAATCCCAAAAAAATATCGAGCAAGCACTTAAACCTCAAAAAAAATATCGTGCAACCTCAGAAACATATCTAACTGTACGCAAAAAAATAACGTGCAAGGGTTGAGCCAAAAAGATAAATATCATGCAACCAAAATTCCTGCAACCCCCATCAATTGTCCAATGGTCAACCCTTAAAAGTATTGTGGATGCAAGGCTACCATGGAAATACAAAAGAAGTCACACTTTTCCTCGATGGAATTTGTGGCATTGCTTTTGTATTTCAATGTTAGCCTAGCATTCAAGACAATTTTAAGAAGGGTCTATTTCGGGTATCTGTAAATGCGCTTACCAATTGTTCAAGTAAATAGTAAGGAAACTTATAAGTACCGCGGGTAAAAATGTTTGGAGTTTGCACTTGTTACAGTTGTACTAGTACAGTGGTTTCTTTATCTCGGGTGCATCAGTTCTATAGTCCTCTTCTTGGCTCAAGTAGCCATAAGTATTCCTACTATGCGTTTCCTTTTATATCCGATCATTAGTCTTCATGTCAGTCAGTTCTTTGCGTGTGGGTTTAGTGTTACCGGAAAAGCTGTGGTTTCGTTAAGGTATAAACATTAATTGTTCGCAATATAACGACAAACAGAGCTTGTGATGGGGCAAATCAAAGGGCAGTCTTTTTTTCTTGGTTCGATGAACCGTTTCTTTATGTCAGCCCAACCCACCATAAGGAGATTTTAACGAGATAAACTCGTTGAACAAGAAACTAGCCATGGATAGACATCATAGCATGGGGTAATGCGACCCCGGTCCCAGCTTTTATGAGGCCCAGATTCTTTTCTTTGCTCTGCCGTATCTTGTAATTAGCTTGACTAGCTATACCTATACACACGTTGAATCCTCTCTCCTTCTTCAATCTACCCCCCACCTAGCCCTGCACTCTTTTCCCCTCGCAAAAAAATAAAAAGAAGGCCGCATGTTGTCGTTGGCCAGGCCAGGGTTTTGCGAACGACGTCGGCTTCGTACAAATAGAGCATCTTCCCTTTCCAAGCAGCCCCTTCCAAGCAGCCTTGACCTCTGTATTCAATAATAGCGTAACTATACCTTGAAAAAAAGCATCGATTTTATAACCTCAAGTCTGTTAAAAAAAAACCGTGATAACGCTTCTAGAAACAAACAAACAAAAAAGGTTTTCCAACTACAAATTGTTGCGTCCAAAATTAACCTCGTATTCAATTCCAAACTGACATTCACTTCAACCGTCATTGTCCCAAAGTAGCTGAATATATTTATCGTCGAGTTTCCCTACTTATTAATGATTTTATCTTAAAAGGTTGAAATAGAAGGGAACGAAAGTCAAGGATGTCAATAAAGCATAACAACGCTATTCCGTGCTCTCTCGTCCAACACCCGCCCGTGCAATCAAATATGGGTGGATTCATAACTTACAATCGTCAGTGTTTTTGACATGTTGACTGACTGCTTTACTAATCGACTGGGCATTTTCAAAAAGCCATTCGATTGCCAATGTGATAATTACACCATATATTCATTTCTGCTGAAAAAGAAGGCATTTGTTGAAATCTATCAGTGGAATTTGAAAAGCCAATTTAGTGGCAAGAAGTCATTTTCATGTAGGAAAGCCATATGTTTGTTAGAAACCCATTTGGGTGTCGGAATCCATTTAAGTGTCGGAAAACATATTTGAAAGGAAGTTATTGAAGCCATAACTGGTCTTTCAGACTTGTAACTAAAGGCGATATTTGAGAAGCTCTTAAGAAGCCGTTCAAGTGTTCATAAGCCTTTTGAATAGTGCTTTATTAAGAATTAAATGAAGTGGTTATGTGAAAGCTAATCGTATGTTCGTTAATGGAAGCCAATAGTATGTCAAACCTGAAAATCCGGTCCAGTGTGCGCTCATAATCTGGCAATGCTTTTGTTCAAATTTTCTGAAAAAAAATCTATAGCTATATACTGTTCTTCAGACTCGGACAAAAATCTGGAAAAAAATATTTCATTTCCGGTTGAGTTAAATTGTGTGAGTTATAAAAGAAAAGACTAGAACTTGGATGCCATTCAAACGCTGAAACCGCTAACCCATTACGAACACCGCGAAGAACCCATTACAGCGTTGACAGTCATTCATTTGTTAATTACCCGCAATTCTCCCTTTGAATGGAAAGAGCTACTTACACAATAAGAAATTCAAACGGCCCCTTTTGTGATATTTGAAGCCACTTAGATGCTGGAATCTAGAAAGCCATTTAGCTGTTTAGCGAAAACCCATTTAAAAGTAATAACAGGTTTTTGTTACTCGGCGTCATTACTGAAAACTCCTCCAGCTATCGAATAAAATGTGTCAAAAAAATTGACATTTGAAGTGTCTACAAAATGTATATCTGGGAACCCATTTAGCTAAAAATTCCAAAGGGAAGCCACTAAAATGCTGTTTAAAAATAGTATCAACGGTTTTTTTGTGGAATTTGAGTGGATTGTGCAAGAATAATGCGACCTCTTCGCAGACAAGCTTTTGCTACTTTAAGAAAACAAAATATTACGGATGTTGACTTTGTAATTAAGAAACGCTTAATGGCCGTTAATTTGTTTTTCATGTACAAATTGTTGTAAGTAAGTAAACATTGTTAATTAAACCATCGTGTCTATTCGCGTTTTTTCGCCTTTTTGCCGGGTAATCATTTCTCCAAATGTTTCGGAAAAAAACGAATTTGTTCTACGTTCTGTTCTGTTCTCTTCTCTTCTCTTCTCTTCTCTTCTCTTCTCTTCTCTTCTCTTCTC